CTCTCTGTTACGCAGGAGTCAGTGATTGTCCGGGACGCTATAAAGAAGGGCAGCTTACCGTATCTACGATCCAGCATGATATCCCCTTAGCGTCCGTCGAAGTGCGGTAATGGGTCCCTGGTGCGAGCAGGGAGAGCTCAAGCTTCGCCTTTTTCTCATCGCCCCCGGCGGCGGCCATAATTATCCGACCGGACGACGTGACCATGACCAGCCTCTGTCTCTTCTTTGTGGTACTGCCTCCAAAGAATCGGGAAAATTTCTTGTGAGTCTCGGGCTCCCCGTTTCCGTTCTTGGTGGGACTGTGAGCAGCGGCGGATGATAGGACCACCAGGTTGCCCATCTTCAAGATCCTTTCGTTGGTTTTGGTCAAGACAGGAGACCACTCAATGTCCAACTGGCTTGGAGGTGGCAGCTCCGTGACTAGTCGAGGTACCACCCGAGAGCTAGTGTTGGTAGCGTGTGATGGAGCCGTGCTGACGATGGGGGGAAAGCTCTCACCCTCACCACCGCCATTCAATTTGATGGGTTCACGAGGCGGAGGAACATAAGCCTTGAGGCGAGGAGCTTTGCGCTTCCAAAGGTCGGGTCCCCAAGTCATTCCCTGGAAGAACTCATGGTTCTTGATATGCTCTATAGGAAGACGACGGGCAGGATCCAAAACCAAAAGGCGCTCAACAAGGTCCCGGGCGACGGCGGGGAATCCAACGGGGAATTCGTATTCAAGAGCCACGATCTTCTGGAACGTCAGGTACTCATTTCCTGCCTTAAAGGGTGGTCGGCCGGCTAAGAGTTGGTATATGATGCAACCAAATGCCCAAAGATCGCTGGCCTTGCAAGCGTTCTTATCCGTCAGCAATTCGGGGCTGACATATTCCGCCGTACCAACAAACGAGCTAGCTCGCTCTTCTTCCGGCATATCAGTCGAGTCGAGAGAAGGCACCCCGCTCGAGTCGTCGGGTTTCCGTGGGCCACGGAGGATCTTGGCAGTGCCAAAGTCGGTGATCTTAACATGCATCTGACTATCGAGAAGAACATTCTCCGGTTTCAAATCCCGATGAATCACGCCCCGCTTATGCATGTAGTCGATGGTGTCGAGAATTTGAGCGCCGTAAAACCGAGTGCACTCTTCGTCGAACGTGGTCATGCGTTTCAACACCCCCAGCAGTTCGCCCCCTTTGCAGAGATCGAGCACGAAATACAACGAACGCTCATCTTGGAACGTATAGTAGAGTCGGACGATGCCAGGATGCTCGGTCAGTCGGTTGAGAGTATCCTTCTCGATATTCACGTATTTCACCTTCTTCTCCTTGATGATGTGCCGTTTGTCGAGAATCTTGATGGCGTACTCTTTGAGTGTTTGACGATCCGTTCCGAGTACGACCGTACTGTAAGATCCCTCTCCCAAGGTGCTGCCGAAGGAGAAATCACGCACCCCTTTCTTAATAGTCCGGGAGACGGTCTGCCCATTGGCATCGATCTCCTGTCGCACCGAAACAGCCGCCCCGCGATCCTGCCAGTCCTCACTACTGGACGGTGGGCCATTTTCCAGTCCGTAGGGCGTACCGGCCATTGGCGGAGCACCTCCAGCGCGCGGATGGGCACGAGACGACTGCCGCATCACCATCGGGCCATTCCCGCCAGGCAGCTGCGCCGTCCGGTACGACCGATCGCTGTGGCTATTATCGCGCACGGGAACACCTGCCTGGAACGCCGCGGAACGTCCACGGGATTCCGCACGCGCAAGGCTTTCGGAGGCGGACGATGCGGCAGAATCGGTCCGGATCCGATAGGAGCCCTCGCGAGCGGCCAGGGTTGAGGATGAACCATTCGCGTACAGCGCAGACATAGGGCGAGAACTGGCGGGCGCGACGTGTTGTTGCTGGGGCTGGGAAAGGTAGGGGGCGTAGTGTGGCGTGGATTGCTGGTTTGGTTCGCTATACGCCATGTACGTCGAACTCCGATTGCCCGCGGGAGGTTGCGTCGTCGGATCGATGGGAGACACGGTCGCGGGTTCTCTGGCGGGTTCGCTGCCGGGCGGAATGGACGAGTGGGAGGGGTCGAGGGAGGCAAGATGAGCAGGGGGTTGCGGAAGGGACAAGTCGTGCTGGAGATCAGATGTTCCTGGCACCACGGGAGCCACGGTAGCCGCACCGGGGGCCGGAGTCATAGGGTCCTCGGACGAGTGTAGGGACGAATCGTCAGGATTGGCGATCCGTAAGCCTCCCAGTGATTGGGAGAGGCTGAGGTTCTCATCCATGATGGGCAAAGGTGGATGTAGGGAGGACGGACGGAGAATGGAGGCGGCAGATTCGAAAGGGGGACGGTTAAAAGAGGAGACTAAGCGGGTTGGGTGGATGTCGCGGGAGGTGTTC